CCAACGAGGGGACACAAGGGACAGGCGTGGCTTCCCTCAGTGTCCCGAGTAGACATGAACAAAGTTACAATTGTAACGAACTATTGAAAGTTGAAAGACGGGGTCCAAGAGCTGAACCCAAACATGCACAGTTAAGCGAGTACACACAAATACCTTCCGCTCCGTTCTAATGACCAAGCAAATACTCGTCTCTAGGTCATCATGAAGAAGCAAATACTCATCTCTAGGTCATCATGAAGAAGTACTCACCTCATAATTCATCATGAAGCCTCAATTCCCCCTCTAGGTCATCATGAGGAAGCCAGTACTTACCTCCAGGTCTTCATGAGTAAGGAGGAGAACGTGATACAGAAGCCTAGGTGTCGGGTCCACTTGGTGGCGATACAGGAGTAAGTGTCCAGCACGGGGAAGATGGCCGCCATCTGTTGGGTGGCAGAGTGAGTCAGTGAGGTAAAGTGAGGGGGGCAAAGTGAGGGGGGAGAGAATGAGGTACAGTATATCATTATAAGAGCAGCTGTGGTCATTATAGAAGAAAATGAGAAGGCATCAAGCCTTAAAATGTACACAATATAATGAGAGAGAGAGTGGAATAATATGGACGAATGAAGAACTAATGCAATGACACGAAGTATGGATAAACGCACGGACGCATAGACGGGGGAACGCACGGACAAAGACCTGAACCCTGTCCTTACACCTAGCAGTTTAGAATAACACACACAGGCTGAGTGGACAGCGCTCGGGGGTCGTAATCCTAACAGGGTGCGTTCTGGGGATGTATATGTGCGTGCGCGTGTGTTAGTAGATATACGTTAGTAGATATAATAGAAGAAAAAAAATATTGGTTAGAAAGGCGGGATCCAAGAGCTAATAGCTCTATTCAGCAGATACAAATAGTCAATTCAAATAATAAACACACACAAATACAGCAGAGATCAGAGCAGAGATCAGAGCAGATCACAACAGAGGAAGTAATGAGACAAAAGTTATGCCCAGCTGATGACAGACAGAAACAGCAACATAACACATAGGAAGGGAGTACTTTTACCCATAGACCAGTGACCAGTTGACCAGACCACACACTACAAAGTGAAGAGACGACGACGTTGAGACGACGACTGGATCGACTTGAGAATGGTCCAGGACGGACCGAATCGTCGTCGTCCCTTCACTTCCGAGTGTGTGGTTTGGTCAACATACTTCAGCCACGTTATTATGACTCCTCGTCTCCGGTGACCAGCACCTCCCCAGCAAGGAACTCAAACGAATAATAAACACAGGTTAAACACCGACAATGAGGCTTGTAAACACCCACGTAGCATCAGACAAGGAAAAAATCATGCCTAATGAACCTTCTAGAGTTTTAGGCGAAAGTAATGAAGATAAGACAAGACAGAAAAAGTTGGCCAGAGTGTAGATTTCTAAACTGTTTAGAAAGTTTGTGATGGTTTCACGCAAGATACTCCTACATAAACTAGAGAAGCAGGCACAAGTAAGGGTAAAGGCAATGCAACCTGGGATTTAACTGAACTCTCTAAGGGGGTCCCCGAGGCCTCGACTGAACCCTCTAGGGGGTCCCCGAGGCCTCGACTGAACCCTCTAGGGGGGCCCCGAGGCCTCGACTGAACCCTGTAGGGGGGCCCCGAGGCCTCGACTGAACCCTCTAGGGGGGCCCCGAGGCCTCGACTGAACCCTCTAGGGGGGCCCCGAGGCCTCGACTGAAGCCCAATCAGGGGTTTTGCACATTGCTCCTCATACACTCTGGCTATGGTCCAGGAGTTCTACCTCCAACGCTTCTCTTCAAATACACAATGCAATCCTATTAACGTGATTTCAGGTTGCATTGCTTTTTACTGTCATGGCGTAGTGGTCCAGGACATGGGTTTTGGAGTACCAAGTGTGCGGGTTCGAATCCTCCTCATGGCTCAAATTGATTTTCTCATTCACAATAAAATCACAATAATATGTAGAATTGGTCTGGAGTACACCACGTATGTGAGACCAATTCTAGAGTATGCCACCCCATTGTAGAACCCCATCTAAAAAGACACTCAAGCATACCATAGTATGTCCTGAGGACTGCGACGAGGCGCATCCAGAAATTGCAAATGATTGCTACGAAGAAATATTGAAAGAACTAGACCTGTCGTCGCTAGCAAAGAAGACGCAGACAATAGAGATGTATAATTCTTAGTGGATTGATAGAGTGGAGAAAATGTTCACAATGAATACCAGTAGAACAATAGGGTATGAATGGGAACTTAGAAACCAGATCAGCCATAAGTTAGAAAGTTTTATTTTAACAAAAAACTCTAGGGAAATGGAAAGAACTAAATGAGCAAGTTGTAGAATCGAACTCTTCATTCGTAAGAGAATATATGACAAACAGATCAAGAGTCATTGCATTAGAAAACCGCCAGTGAAAAGGCAGGATCCAAGAGCCAAGCTCGAACCTACACAGATAAATAGGTGAACACACACACACACACACACGCAATTACATTTTCACACGTGTAATATATATTTTGATATAATACTCCTGAAATAGCCATTAATCGGATCTTGGCAAAACAAACATCAGAGCCATGTTTGACTGCTCTTCAAACACAATACAATTAGCAATTGCTGATGGAATTCATAATAGAACCAAGTTCCATTTACCGTGGATCACTGAGGACCTCCTGACGTCAACACGACGTCACGCCAAGTGTGGTAAATACCCACCAAACACCACGTAACTACAACGTCGTTACAATGACGGAACAAGTTTTACCACCTAACAAATTGTAACAACGCTTTTAATGTCATAAAAACGTTCTAATACGGCATAAACACGTTTCTAATATGCCATAAAAACGTTTTTAATACGTCATAAAAACGTTCTAATGCGGCATAAACACGTTTCTAATATGTCAACGTTTTTAATACGTCATAAAAACGTTCTAATGTGGCATAAACACGTTTCTAATATGTCAACGTTTTTAATACGTCATAAAAACGTTCTAATGCGGCATAAACACGTTTCTAATATGTCAACGTTTTTAATACGTCATAAAAATGTTCTAATGCAGCATAAACACGTTTCTAATATGTCAACGTTTTTAATACGTCATAAAAACGTTCTAATGCGGCATAAACACGTTTCTAATATGTCAAAGTTTTTAATACGCCATAAAAACGTTCTAATGCGGCATAAACACGTTTCTAATATGTCATAAAAACGTTATAAGAAGATAGGACGCCTTTATTCAAAGTTGTAACAAGCGGAAAATAGGGACAGTTACTTTATGTTTGCAGGGTTGTGCTTCCACGACCACACGCATGACCACACAAAATTACCTCATTTACAATTCCAGTATACCTTATATTGGTATAGTCCTTGTATAATTCAACTCCCCTGAATGATATAAATGATACTATATTGCTATATAATGATTATTCAACCCCCCTTTAATGATACTATATGAATATGTAGTCCTTGTATAATTCAACAGGTAAATAGTCGTTGTATAATACATCCCTGAATGGTGTAGTGGTTTAAAAAGAGACATACGACACTCTTCAAACAATTCTATTAAAAATTTATCAATTCTGTAAAGTAGTTTCGTTGAATATCCATCACACTATTAATAAAATAAAAAATTCAGTATTAACAAGGGCGCTGACCGTTAAAATACAGCCTTAAAGTAATGGTAAGGAGGTTGCTTACTAAAATATAGCCCATACTAGTCATAACAAGAAGATAGAGGAGTCTGAAGCCAGTTAATTAGACAACCGATAGTTAAAAAAAGGCAGGGTCCAAGAGCTAACAACTCGCCTAATGGCCTTGTTGTACCTGTTACGTTATAATAGAATTATTTTCATTTTCAAATTCTTTGTCGATTTTGGTTTTTAAATTGTGGTTGGAGGTGGCTTCTACCACAACTTCTGTGCCTTGACTACTCGTACAGGTAATGCAGGTCGGCGCTCAATCCCCTCGACCGTCCACAAGTGGTTGGGCATCATTCCTTTCCCCTGTCCCATCCCAAATCTTTATCCTAACCCCTTCCCAGTGCTATAAAGTCGTAATGACTTGCCCTTTTTCCCTGATAATTCCCTCCCTCACCTAGACTGTTAGAGACTCGAACCTTGGACCCCAAACGTGTGAGGCTGAAGCTCTATCGACCGAGCTATTGAGTGGTCTTAATAAGAAAAGGGTTCGAGACCCTTTGGTCTAGTGCGTGTTCCAGCGGCGTAAGACCCCAGCAACAGGTGAGGTGGGGGGGGGGGGGCTATCCTGAGAGAATCAGAGCCCTGTGCGGGGTGTTGGGGGGATGGGGCCAGTACAGAGAGTGTACCCAATCACTTTCCTTACCACGAACGAACACGCACATCCATACACAATCACAAAATATTTAGCATGAACAGGACACGAACATGGCCTGAGGACACGGACAAAGGACACAGGGCGGGCGTGAGGACACTATAAACTCGGCAACCTGTCCTCGGGTCAAGCTCGTTAAAGCGGCGGCCGGTGCCGAAGACGCATTGATTAATTTCAACGTATTGTGTATGGGAGAGTCCCGGGCACCGCCGGGTACTCCATCTAGTTCTGAAATATGCAAAGAGTTAAAATTTTCGTTGTCGGTCCCCTTGGCAATATTTTATTTTTTATTTTTTTCCCAGATTATAAAATATTTCACGATTTAAAATGTCGACATGATTTTATGTCGCCTGTTGCAATATATTCCCCCCTTCCCTCTCACCCTCTCTCTCTCTCACCCTGCCTCCCTCTCTCTCTCTCTCTCTCCCCCCCTCTCTTTCACCCTCTCTCTCTCTCTCTTCCTCACCTCCCTTCCCCTCTAATTAATCCAACAATTAGGGGAGGTTATTAAGCACCTACAGCTCATGGTTTAACGACACATGAACACTGGGGGAGGGTAATGGGTAGGAGCAAGGTGGGTGGGTAATGGATTGGGGTATAGGGGAAGTCATGGGGGAGGGTGATGGGAGGTGGCAATGGGGGGGGGAAGGTAATAGTGAAGACGTCATGGGGTACATCACTACACACCTGTAGCTCCATTAAACTCCACTGTAACACGAGACTGTTCTTCCCTACTTTATTTATACTTTACTGAATATATTTTTACCTCTTACCACCCCGCCCAGCTGTGTCTAAATAACGTTACTTGTTCCTGCGAGTTTGTTCCTGTTTACCGTTCTCCTTACTGAGCAACCCTGTACCTGGCGTGCCACCTGCGGCACGTGTACCTGGCGTACCACCTGCGGCGCGTGTACCTGGCGTGCCACCTGCGGCACGTGTACCTGGCGTGCCACCTGCGGCGCGTGTACCTGGCGTGCCACCTGCGGCGCGTGTACCTGGCGTGCCACCTGCGGCGCGTGTACCTGGCGTGCCACCTGCGGCGCGTGTACCTGGCGTGCCACCTGCGGCGCGTGTACCTGGCGTGCCACCTGCGGCGCGTGTACCTGGCGTGCCACCTGCGGCACGTGTACCTGGCGTGCCACCTGCGGCGCGTGTACCTGGCGTGCCACATGCGGCACGTGTACCTGGCGTACCACCGGAGTCTTCACTGACGTATATAATGTTTGGAAACATCAACTTGAAACAGGAGGTATTTTTGGTTAATTAATATAGAGCACAAAAAGCAAGGGAATTAGTAAATATTTTTCATTTACACTAAGCTAGATGAAACTAGTGATGCTTGGTTATTGTTCTAATTCATTTAGTAAAAATTGGGACGTCCTAAATCTGGATATATTGGCAATATAGAGATTAATATTTATACTGGACGAAGGGAGGGTACAATTACAGCGAACAATGTCGTTTTTCCCACTTGTGCTGGACGGTAGAGCGACGGTCTCGCTTCATGCAGGTCGGCGTTCAATCCCCAACTGTCCACCAAGTGGTTGGGCACCATTCCTTTCCCGCCGTCCCATCCCACATCCTTATCCTGACCCCTTCCCAGTGGTATATAATCATAAAGTCTTGGTGCTTTTCCCCATCTTGTGGCTTAGCTCACCAGAAAAGCCAAAAGCCTTAAGCAGGACTGTTCATAACTTGTTCACTGTTCAAAGTGTTCTATTCAACTCTTCTTACAGAGGGAGGGTGATGGTTGGGGACAGGGAGGTGGGGGGGGCAGGGGAGGCTTACTTAGTAAGTGGGGGGATATAGGAAGGTGTGGGAAGGTATGAGGTAGGGAAAGGGGAGAACGGAAGGGAAGGGGGTTGATAGGGATGGGAAAATGAAGATGAATGAAGACTGCAGAAGAAGAGAGGGGGGGGGGGGTGGAGGGAAGACTAGAATGGAAGGGGGTAAGTGATAAAATGAGGGGAGTGGAGAGAGGGGGAGTGAGATGGGGAGGAATATCAGAGGCCAGGGAGGAGGCTAGCCGGCCAAGAGGCCAACCAAGAGGCCAACCAGCCAGCCAAGAGGCCAGCCAGCCAGCTAGCCAGCCAAGAAGCCAGCCGGCCAACCAAGAGGCCAAGAGGCCAGCCAGCCAGCCAGCCAGCCAGCCAGCCCAGGAGACCATGCAGGGAGGAGGCCAGCCAGCCAGCCAGACAGCCAGCCCAGGAGACCATGCAGGGAGGAGGCCAGCCAGCCAGCCAGACAGCCAGCCCAGGAGACCATGCAGGGAGGAGGCCAGCCAGACGACAGAGAGGACCCACCTCGAGGTACATGATGGTGCAGCCGATGAGACAGATGCAGAGGAAGGTGGGCGAGGCGAGGCGGAAGACCTTGACACTGCGGTAGTGGTAGACCAGACCCATCATCACGAAGCTCAGCACTATACACAGACTCGAGATGACCAGCAGCGCGATCCTGGAAGGGGTGATAGCAGTGGGGTTGAGTAGGGCAGTGGGAGATGGGGTGGGGAAGGGGAGAGAGAGAGAGAGAGAGAGAGAGAGAGAGAGAGAGAGAGAGAGAGAGAGAGAGAGAGAGAGAGAGAGAGAGAGAGAGAGAGAGAGAGAGAGAGAGACAGAGAGACAGAGAGACAGAGACAGAGAGACAGAGACAGAGAGACAGAGAGAGAGAGAGAGAGAGAGAGAGAGACAGAGAGAGAGAGAGAGAGAGAGAGACAGAGAGAGACAGAGAGAGACAGAGAGAGAGAGAGAGAGAGAGAGAGAGAGAGAGAGAGAGAGAGAGAGAGAGAGAGAGAGAGATAAAAAGGTGCATTAGTTGCAGGGTATTCAGAGATGTTGCAAGAGACAAGTCATATTCTGCCTATATTGACTTAAAGGCTTCTTGCAGCCTAGTTCGGTGTTCAGATTGAAATCACAAAATCACATTAAAAAACATTTTTTCCAAACACGCTGAAGACTAACAGGCCACAGGTCATATTTGACACTCGTTTGACAGGTCACAGAGGTCCAATCCTGGACAGACTGGTACTTTCCCTCTCGTGGATGTAAAACTATTAGTGGACCGTGTTCTAGGGAAAATATGTTGAGAAAAGCAGTATAACAATGAGGGGGGGGGGTGAGGGGTGAACCCCCAAACAAGAGAGAGACTTTGGATCTAATGGTCACAACAGTTGGGCTTAAAATAAGTCCTGGAACAGAACATTGTGATTCTTAAAAAAATGGCGAATAATAATTTTTTGGCAGCGTCCATCATTCATGTCTTCTGAGAATTACATTGGAAGCTTTGACTGACAAGGTTCATCATTGGACTTACGCCAGGGAGTCAATTTGGTTTGTAAAGGAATTAACCTTTCTCTCTCTCATTGAGAGAGAGAGAGAAAGGAAGATTAATCCTATATACGAAATGCATTTATTAAATATTCTTGCATTACCAACTAGAACAACTCTGTTATATTAAGTTATTTTATTCACAATTGTTTCAAACTCCAACGTCATGACCCTAGAATATAAGATTAAATGAACTTAAAAATAGATTAATTGGTGGCTTCTGAAGCAACTGCTTGAAGCACACCCCCTCCCCTCCTCGGACGCATCGGCACTACCACCAGCAGTGTCCCTTGAATCAAACCCACCCTTGCTGGTCCCGGCGCCGTACGACACTTTGGGCCGACTAGCCGGCAGCAGGCGCCACCCCCACCGAGGTGTGACGACACATTCTCTCTAGAGAAGCATAATAAAGTCTTCTCTCGCTCTCTGATTAACACAACTCAAGTTATTACCGCTTATAACTTATTAGAACCTGTAAGCGGTTTACCTGACAGCAGCAGCAGGCAGCTATATTGCAGACTGTTGACTTTGCAACAAAATCTAAATAGAATTCTCGTTTGCAATATCCGGTAAATATATAAATAATAAATGCAGAGCAAAAAGACAGAAAATTTCTTCTATGCAGAAAGATAAAACTGGACCTCATTACACAGGAGGAAAAAAGGAATAAGGGAGACATGACAATGACGTCTAAGATACCAAAGTGAACTAACACAGTAAAACTAGAATCAATGTTATAATTAAGTAGAACGAAACGTTCAACACAGGTAACTCTCTCGCAGATGTCAGAACAACTTGTTTACTCTGAGTCGTAAATGAGTGAAATGGATTAAATGAGGAAGTTGTCTAAGCTAACATGAAGCTCTGATGAGTTACAATGAAGTTGATGATTAGATCCCCAACTCGCAAACCTGAAAATGAAGAATTGACGACGTTTCGATTCACAACTTGATAATGGTCCTGGGCGGACCAAAACGTCATCTGATCCACAATTTCAGATTTGAGAGTTTGGGTCTCCAATTTGATTATATTTTTAAATATGAAATAGAGTCCTTTAAACAACACACACACACACACACACACACACACACACACACACACACACACACACACACACACACACACACCACACACACACACACACACACACACACACACACACACACACACAGACAAGACGCCAGAAGAGGAGTCCCGCAGGGGTCAGTCCTTGGACCTATACCGTTTGATAAATGTAAATGATGATTTGATCCCCAACTCGCAAACCTGAAACACACACACACACACAGGGGGGCACTACCATACCTGGCGTCCGTAGGAACATTAGTAACGATGACGTACCTGAAGGGCCAGTTGTAGTGTGCCATGCAGGGCTTGTTTGAGTGGCACTCAGGGCACTCCTTCTTGCACGGTCGACACACGTACAGCATCTCGTAGGTGGGGTTGTTCCGCTCGACCTTGCCCTCCCACGCCACTGTGGGAGAGACATTGCCTGTTTGTAGTATGGAACCTTCCCATCTCTATCATAGTCGACCACTCCGTCAAAATAGCAACGTATTAGTCAAAGTAAAAGCCCCCATAATATGGACGGTTTCTGAGCATTGTGAAATGATCATTAGTTAATATTAAAATTTGTGTGTGGTTGACTACGTGACAATAGGTAAATAGCGTGACAAATAGCAGTAAATAGGTACCTGGGAGTTAGTCAGCTGTCACGGGCTGCTTCCTGGGGGGTGGAGGCCTGGTCGAGGACCGGGCCGCGGGGACACTAAAGCCCCGAAATCATCTCAAGATAACAATTACGACGTTTATCAGATGTTTATTAGCCTTATCCACACTATCTTGTAACTGGCACAAGAGTTGTTGAAGTATTAAATTAAAGCGAGGGAGGGTGGGGGGGTTGGGGGGGTTAGGGGGGTCTTCTGTCATATCGTGGCTAAGGCGGTTAAGACAGGTGTCTGAGAAGCACCAGAACGCCGGTTCAAAATCTCCCATTTCCTCAAAATGATTTTTCTCAATTGATGTATGTCACGCCATTGTGAAGTGGGCGTGACCATGAGAAGGGGGGCAGGGGGGATGGTGAGGGGGGAGGGGGTCAGCAAGTGGTGGGGGTGGGGGGGGGTCGATGAGAGGGGGAGGAGGGGGGGGCACATGTAAGATTAACTACTGGTTTCACATGCTGGAAAAAGTGTGTTGAATCCGTTTTCCTGGAAATTAATTGATTCTAGGTACATAATGTATTTAGTGCAAGCGAAAGACTACATCAAACAAGCGACATACACTGTCTTCCCTGTCCCTCCCTCCCTCCCTA